ATATAATTACTCTATGATCTAGCAATTCCACTTCTGGATATAGATCCAAATGAATTGAAAGCAGGGCCTTGAAGATTCTGTTACACCCACGTTCATAGCGGCATTATTCACAATAGCCAAAAGGTGGAAGCAACCCAAATGTCCATCAACAGATGACCAGGTAAACAGAATATGGTATATCTATACAATGGAATATTATTCAGCCTTTAAAAGGAGGAAAATTTTGGCACCTGCTACAACACAGATGAACCCTGAGGACATTATGCAAAGTAAATAAGCCAGTCACAAAGAGACAAATACTGCATGATTCACTTATATGGAATCATAGAGGCAGAAAGCAGAATGGTGGTTGCCAGCGGCTAGGACAGGGAGAAATGGGGAGTTGTTGTTTAACAGGTATAGCATTTCGGTTTTACAAGATGAAAAAGTTCTGGAGATTGGATGCACAACAACATGAATATGATTCACAATGCTGAACTTACACTTAAGAATGGTTAAGATAGGGGGGCGCCTGGGTGGCTTAGTCGGTTAAGTGTTGGACTCTTGACTTCAGCTTAGGTCATGATCTCAGGGTCGTGAGGTCGAGTCCCGCATCCGGCCCCACACTCAGCTTGGCATCTGCTTGGAGATTCCTTCTGCTCCTTCACCCACACACTTTCTCTTAATAAATAAAAATCTTAAAAAAAATAAGAAAGAATGGTTAAGATGGTACATTTTATGTTATGTGTATTTTACCACAATTAAAAATTTTTTTAAAAATTTAAAAGCAGGGCGCCTGGGTGGCTCAGTTGGTTGGGCGACTGCCTTCGGCTCAGGTCATGATCCTGGAGTCCCGGGATCGAGTCCCACATCGGGCTCCCTGCTCAGCGGGGGGTCTGCTTCTCCCTCTGCCCTCTTCCCTCTCGTGCTCTCTGTCTCTCATTCTCCCTCTCTCAAATAAATAAATAAAATCTTTTAAAAAAAAAAATTTAAAAGCAACTATAATTACCATTCTTTGAGACATGAACAAGAATGGGATGCTCTAAAAAAGAATGAAAAATTGCTCTTTTAGAAGTGAAAAGTTATGAGAAAAGATACGAAAAAAAAAAATCTAATGGAAAGGTTGGAAGATAAAGTTGAGGTAATTTCCCAGAAAACAAAACAAACATTTTTAAAAATGGAAAATTGGAAAGAACATTTTGAAAAATGAGAAGACCAGTCCAAGAGGTCCAACATCTGACTAAAATAGGTCTGCAAAGAAAAAAACAAAAACGGAAAACAGAATGGAGGGTATTAACACAAAGAAATGTCCCTCAAATTGATCCAGATTAAAAGACTCACCAAGTGCCCAGAGTCAAGGCACATCACTATGAAACTTAGACCTCTGCAAGACCCTTTAAACTTTCACAGAGAAAAATCAGGTCACATGCACAGGATCAGGTATCAGAATGTCATTTGACGTTTCAACAGCAAGTGGATCGTGTCCTCAAAATTCCTAGGGAAATTTATTTCCAATCTAAAATTCTACACCCAGCCAAACTCTCTATCAAAGCCACTGGAAACGAGAAATGCCAAAACAAGGAAAGAGACCCAGGTGGGTG